TCTGGCGTCACTATCTGTATGGGGTTCGGTGTACCATATACACGGACCATAAGAGTTTGAAGTATTTGATGGATCAGCCCAACCTGAATATGCGCCAGTGGAGATGGTTGGATGTGGTAAAGGATTACGATTGTGAGATCCTGTACCACCCGGGCAAAGCTAATGTTGTAGCTGATGCTCTGAGCCGTAGGGCAGAGAGTGCCCCGATTCGAGATACTTGTATGCGATTGACGGTGATGACTCTGGTGTTGGACACCATTCGGGAGGCCCAGGCAGAGGCCGTGATACCAGAGAACCGCAAGCGGGAGCGGGTGATCGGGCAGGTGTCTGAGTTCGTTACCAATGGCCGAGGGCTGATAACCTTTCAAGGTCGGATTTGGGTGCCGTATGCAGGCGGGGCATGTACCATTCTGATGGAAGAGGCGCACAGATCGAGGTTCTCGATCCATCCCGGGGCCACTAAGATGTATTTGGACCTGAAGAGAGAGTATTGGTGGCCCTGTATGAAGAGGGATGTCGCGTGGTTTGTGGAGAGGTGCTTGACCTTTCTCAAGGTTAAGGCCGAGCACCAGCGTCCGCATGGCAAGTTACAGCCACTTGAGATTCCCCAGTGGAAGTGGGAACAGATTTCTATGGATTTTATCACCAAATTGTCGAGGACCGCGAGGGGCGTCGATGCAATTTGGGTGATCATTGACCGGCTAACGAAGAGCGCCCACTTCCTTGCGATCAGTGAGAGCTCTTCCGCATAGAGGCTGGCCGAGTTGTATGTGAGAGAGGTGGTATCGCGTCATAGAGTACCGATCTCGATTGTGTCAGATCGAGATGTACGTTTCACTTCCAGGTTCTGGAAGAAGTTCCATGCGGAGTTGGGTACGAGGCTGCATTTCAGTACCGCATACCACCCACAGACGGACGGGTAGAGTGAGTGGACGATTCAGACGCTCGAGGATATGCTTCGAGCATGTGTGTTAGACTTCAGAGGAAGTTGGGACACCTACTTGCCGTTGGCTGAGTTTTCCTATAACAACAGCCACCATTCGAGTATTGGTATGCCTCCCTTCGAGTTGTTGTATGGGAGGAGATGTCGGACTCCCATTTGTTGGGGAGAGGTAGGGCAGCGCGTGATGGGTAGCATCGAGATAGTGCTTCAGACAACTGAGCAGATACAGCAGGTCAGGCAGAGGTTGTTGACAGCTCAGAGTCGCCAGAAGAGTTATGCGGATAGGCGATGATCCGAGCTTGAGTTCCAGGTCGGAGACTTCGTACTCCTGAAGGTGTCTCCTTGGAAAGGAGTGATCTGATTCAGGAAGAGGGGCAAGCTGGGGCCCCGGTATATTGATCCGTTCAGGGTGACCGCGAGGGTGGGCAGGGTAGCGTACCGTTTGGAGCTACCTGCGGAGTTGAGCCAGATTCATGATACCTTCCATGTGTCTCAATTGAGGAAGTGTATAGCCGACGAGTCGGCGGTGGTGCCGTTGGAGGATATTCAGGTGGATGCGAGACTGAATTATGTTGAGAGACCAATCGCGATCATGGATCGGAAGATCAAGGTCCTGCGAAACAAGGAGGTGCCCCTGGTGCAGGTCCAGTGGCAATATCGGAGAGGGTTCGAGTTGACTTGGGAGTCGGAGGCGGAGATGCGGGAGCAACATCCTGAGTTATTTGCGGAGCGAGACTTCGAGGGCGAAGTCTGATTCTAGTGGGGGAGAATTGTAACACCCGGATTTCCAGGTATAATATTTTAATTATTTATTTTTGTGAATCATTGATCTACTCGACGAGTTGGTGCTATAACTAGTCGAGTAGAAGCGGGGTGGCCACGTAAGTTTAATGAACTACTCGACGAGTCCAAGAGTAGACTCGCCGAGTAGACGCTGTGGGTGGAAACCCTAAATCCTCGGGCCTGTGCCCTATTTAAGGGACCTTATGGCCCTCATTTGCGGCCACCATCACCCTTAAGAGCACCAGAGCCCCTGAGAGCGTTGTGAGAGAGAGAAGGAGCCGTTTTCATCATTCTAAGTGTGATTTTTGCAAGAAAGAAGGAAGGAGGGCAAGCAAGGAAGATTGAGGAGCTCATATCTACCACCATTTGATCAGAAGAGGCTGCTAGAGGTATTAATCTGTGCTCAATCTCGTGTATTTGGTGATCCACTTGACTCTAGGGTTTTCTTATGCCTTCTTTAGCATGGATTCGAAGTATGTGAGGTCCCAAGGTGGAGTTCTTCTTAGATCTGGGCCTTAAGAGGTCCAGAGAGTCCTATCTATCTTGCTTTATGCTAGTCCATTAGAGATATGAACCTAGGTTGCCATTTTAGAGGCTATTTCGCCAAAAGAAGCTTTATGGACGTTACATGAGTGTAAAGGTTGGACCTTTACGTGATTTTTGGGTATGGTAAGGTCAGATCTATAGGTTAGAGAAACAGATCTGACCTCAGAAGGTCATTTGAGTGTTGCCATGGAAGGGACTCGCCGAGTCCATTAGTGCACTCGACGAGTCGAGTCAGGGTTGCCCCGCGATTCATGACCAGTGGTAACCGTCGAGTGAAAAGTTGACTCGACGAACGAGTGGAGATCTTTGAGGATTCGGAAGACGCCTGGACTCGCCGAGTCACAGGCTTGTACTCGACGAGTCTGGTCAAAGTTTGACTGTTGACTTGAAGTTGACTCCAGTTGACCTTAGAGTTTTGGTCAAGCTGATTCTAGAGAGAGATCCGGGAGGGGTAGAAGGTCTTTTAACACCTCCTTAGAAATGAGGACAAGAGAAAGTATTGATTAGAATGTTATTATGGTTAATAGGAGGAGGCTAGGTCGGGTTATCGAGCACGAGAGGTTATCTGACATCGTACGAGGTGAGTCTTCTCACTATACTGGACCTAGAGTGGTACCTATGTGTGACCGGAAGGTCTTATGTGCTATGTGATGTATGTTTTGTATGTTGGTATAAGATATGGATGTGTTATGTAGTGTTATGGCAATGCTCAGGACCAGAAGGGTCATTAGATATGGACCGGAAGGTCAAGATGATATGGACCGGAAGGTTCATTACGGGTAGGACCGAAAGGCTACCGGGTTGTGGCCGGAGTCCTCTGAGACACAGGGACCGGAAGGTATTATAGCCTTGAGTGGCGTATTGCGTATTTGGTATTTTGGGAACCACTAAGCATTGAGCTTAAGGTGTTGTGGTTATGTGTTTCAGGTAATAGCGAGAATCGCGGGAAGCGTTGGCATGATCCGTACACACTCATGAGGTAATGTCTTGAGATTCTGGGATATGTTTTTTGTTATGATAACATTGGATGCATTATGTTTGACATTATCTTATGAATAAAAGTAGGTTTTAAAATGAAAAATTGTTTTGGAATTTAACTGGTTTACAAATAGCTGATGCAAAAGGTCAGGTGGAGCACATGAAGGAGGAGATGGGTCGCGATTACCTTCATTCCAGGGTTGACGTCCTCAACATGCAGAAAAGGTTCGAGAAGGTTGAGAAGCAGATTAAAGCAATTGCACCGTTGGTTGTGGGTCTTGTCGTCGTGATGCTCCTGCTAATGATTTTCATCATTCACTTAATAATCAGCAAATGAATCTCATGGAAGTGGTTTGTAGTGGTATGATAATCTAGTGGTCGTAATCTTCTGTTAGGTTTTATGGTTTTTATTGTCATATATGTTATTAGGATTATGTGTGTTCGTTTGTCTTAGTGGTAATCTAGTTTGTGTAGGTAGTTGTACTCCAGTGGTGGTTGTAATGGTAATTTATGGATGTATTTTGAAGTCCTGCTTACCTGTAACAGGCGTTTTGGTATGATCTTGATGAAATGTAAAGAGATTGAATGGGTTATAACTTGTTAGGTTCATTGTTATTGATTAAGGGTAACGATTTGGACATTTGGTTGCCTTACTTAATGATAATTAATTGTGTTTGGTGCACCAACTATGGCAGATGTGCATGAGGTCAAACAAAAGGGGTATTTTTGTCAAGGGGTATTTTCGTCATTTCCTCTTTATAAGTACTTTACTTCCTTACTCGGAAGTAGCTTTCTTTTTCCCTGTGATTGTTTGCATTCTGAAGTAAAGAGCTCTCGGAATTAACGAAGCGAAAATGGTGAAATGCTCGTGTGGATGTGTCGCCATAATAAGAATGTCTTCCACTCCCTCCAACCCTGGAAGACCCTTCTATTCTTGCCCCACTAAGGTTTGTGTTAGTTTGTTTATTAGGCGCCTGTAGCCCTAATTTATTTGTTTGTTTCATTCTCAAGTTCTCACTCAAAAATTGATTTTGTTAGGGACCTTGTAATGGTTTTATTTGTTGGGTAGAAGAAGCAGACACTAAGAATATTAGTGTTGAAGCAGTTATGATTGCAGGTTTGGCTAGGTCAAAAAAGAAGCTTGAATCAAAGATTTGGAAGTTGAAGATGTGTTTAGTTCTAAGTTGGATTGTTTTCTTTGGCATAATTGTTTACAAGTTGTAATACTTAGCAGTTGTTTATTTCCTTTTTATGGAAATTATTAGGGGTATTATATTACCCATGTAATGACATTGTAATTTAATCATAAAACAATGGGTTTAGTCATATGGGATCCCAAGTTAGATTCGTAGTGTATTAGTTGACAGTGACTTCAGACCATATTCAACTAGAATAAATGGGGAACATATTCAACTATAATAAATGGGACCATACGCATCACTAATGTCAGTAATGGACCCCAATACCATGCACGGATATAACCATAACACACAATCATAAGCACATTGAAACCATTAACATTACTTCGCATACATAACACCAATCATACAAACAGAACACCAATCATAACCACATTGGATACATAACATCAAACTGAAACACTTAATCCGAAACCACCAATCATAACCACATTGAATACATAACATTAAACTGAAACACTTAATCTGAAACATTCTCTTGGATCCTAAATAAGAAGTACATAACACCAAACATCCACACTTAATCCGAAACTGACATAGAAATTTAATACCTATTCAAGTTCCATTGGCTTGTCAATAGTGTTGCCTTCCCTATTTTTACCCTCAACCCGTGTAGCAAGTTTTTTCTCATATTTACCATCCATTGCCTTCTTACAACTGCTTCCTTCCCCAACACTACCATTAATGCCCTTATTACCCTTACTTCCTTGTTCATCTGTAACATGCTTTGCCTTCTTACCACTACTTCCTTCCCCAAAATTACCATTAATGCCCTTATTACCCTTACGTCCTTGCTCATCTTTACCATCCTTTTCCTTCTTACCACTGCTTCTTTCCCCAACATTACCATCTGCTCTCTTCCTTTTCTTTACCCTGAGTTTTGTTGGCTTTTCAGCTTGAGAACATGTAACCTTGTTATGTCCTACTTGCTTGCATACACTACACATATTTTTTTTCCCAACCTTTGACACAGTATGTCTAGCACCCCCTTTCACTTGCATCCTCTCTTGTATTAACTTTTGGTCTACCTGGAATTTTTCTCTTCAATGGTGGCAAAGGTGCAATGAATTCAGTAGGTGGCCACGTGTTGGTACTATTCATCCCACGCATTGGATACTTGCAGGTGTTCTTATAAATTGCTCCATAGTACATTGGATCCACATAATTACCAACATCACTGTTAAGGTATGAGATTGTTGCAACTGAATGCACACATCCATACCCATTTAGTTTCCACACTCTACATGAACAAGTCTTCTTATCTATATCCACAACATAAGTCTCTGCCAAATTTCTTGTTTCAACCTGGTTTAAACGAGTAGGTAAAACCTGCCAATACTTGTTTCAATTGTATATAAGTTAGGGTCTATAGCATAACTAGTCAATTCAAATTCAAAGATAAAGGAAATAACTTTGAGCTCTTTTCAACTAATTCAATAGGATTGTAATGGTTGGACATGGTTTATAATCATGCCATGAACGACCTTTGATGGTCAGATTGAATTGCCTCTCCATAACATACAACCTAATTTCTTCTAACATTGTGATTATTGGTTTTTTTCTTGCATCTCTAATGACAATGTTATAGCTTTCAGATAATCCATTTTCAACTGCATCACACATCCTCCCCTCTAGAAAGAAAGCTCTACACCATGATTTTGGGTTCTTTTCCATAAGGTAATCAAACGTTGTTGGATTAAGCAGTTGTATTTCCTTCATGGCTACATTAAATAAAGGTTCAGTTGATGCTTTGCATGCCTTCCAAAACATCCTCTCATAATGCACACCACTGAATCTTTTCCTAAGTTGGCAACAATATGCCTTGCACACTGTCTGTGTTCAGGAGTAGGCAATACTTCCTTCACAACCTCCAATAGCCCATACACAATTTAAATTCATCTGTTAAGAAAATAGAAATTCATTAACAAAAAATATGAAGTTGTATAGTAAGTGATATACCTTATGTTGATCTGACATAAGGGTTATACCAAAACCATTTTCCATTTCTAGATCATCTTTAAGATTCTCCAAAAACCATTCCCAATTTTCTTTGTTTTCCACACACACAACTGCCCATGCTATTGGGAAAATATGATTGTTAGCATCTCTTCCTACGGCACATATCAACTCTCCACTACATAATCCCTTTAAGAAACAACCATCCAGGTTTGTTACACTTCTACAACTGCCTTTCCAACCTTGTTTCAGCCCCTCAAAACATATATGAAACTTACTAAAATATGTCTTCCCATCAGGCATACTGTTGACATCCATTTTGACAGTTGATCCTGGATTGGATCTTCTTATCTCTTCACCATATGACCAAAGCTTGGCATAATGCTCAACTAGTGTGCCTTCAATTAGTTCAATTGCATATTTCTTTTCTCTTCTACATTGTCCCATACTCACATTAATTCCAAATTTCTTTTTACTTCTTCCTTTATAGCCTAACACTCATTTTTTTGTTTTTGTAAGAATTGTGTTGTGAAATGGCTACCAATCCATGCATAGTTTACAATTGACACCATTTTAAAATTTCTTGCACAATTATGCTCATCTATAAGAGACTTAATTTGGAAAGATTTTTCTTCACTCATCCATGAAGCCCACAATCTAAACTTGCATTGCCTTGAACAACATTTAACTAAAAGCCTCCTACTATCATTTTTTGTAGCACAATTGATACCCTTTAGCTACATCATAATTACACAACATATGTTTTAACTGTTTAGGCCTTTCAAATCTCATTCCTAACACAGGTTTTTGCTTTTTCCAATGAACATTTTCATTTAAAGTTGTTACCTCCTCATGAATTGGGTCGTGTTCATCCATCTGATCATATGGATCATCATGAGATGGATCCTCATGAGGTCTATTGTCTGGAGTTGGCTGCTTCTTGGGGCAGAGCTTGTTCAAAAATACATCATTCAAGGTCTTGTTCGTTGGAATGCAATCTCCATCTTCAATGTTATCGTCCAAATTACCTTGCACTTGCACTTCATCTAGGTCAATGTCTCCTTCTGTCTCAACATGCAACTCTTCTATTACTTCACCTACACCAGGATACTTGTCCTCGGGTATGCATACTTCAGCCATCTCATCAACAATCCATTGATGAACATTAACACCAACATGATCAATGTACACAGAAATTACACAACCAGAATCATACCCTGCTTCGATCAACTCCTGGTAGTCTTTCTCAGTTGCTATTATCCTCAATCCTTCAGGGAACTCAATATCGGGCATGCAAAAGTACACATCAACGCATGTCTCGTTTGAGAAACTTTGAATGAACAATAGAAATTCATTTTTGTCCATTCCAGCAAAATCCACATCCTCAAACCTTTGCTCCACTCCATCTGAGTAACTGATCACTGGATACCTCGTAAACAAACCAGCAAAATGAAGATCTATCTTCATGTAGACGGCCATAGCAGGAATCCAAGACACTTTTTTTCGATGAACAGTAGAAGAAAATAGAAGAAAGGGGTAGATGAAATCGAGTAAAGAACATAATTTCTTGTAGAGGAAGGGTTGGTCTCATTTATCGATACACGTATACGTCGCATGCGATTTGGACATATGAGCTGGCTTTTTTTTAATGACATGTCGAAGAGAAGCTGCTGATTGGGATTGGGGTCACCGGGTGACCCCTTCACTTTTTAGAAAATGGCCTTATTAGCCGGTTAAATGTTAATTCATGCCCTTATAAAGCCAAAAAATAACATAAGGTACCTTTTAAACCAAAACATGTAAGTTCGTGGGGCTACAGTGACATGTTCCCAATTGAGAATACCTTCAGTCCAACAACATGCTATCATCAAGCCCATTTAAAGACGAATTTAGTACACGATGCCATTTTGTTTGTCCCTTATGATCTACATGCACCATTTAGTTGTTTTCTTTATTTAGATTAGTCCATTGGGGTAACTAATCGATCAATAAGGGACAACACTAGTTTTCACCATATTAACCCATCTTTTCAAATTGGGATTTTAATATAAACTTAAATAATAGAAATCATCTATGTTATATATATATATATATATATATATATATATATATATATATATATATATATATATATATATACATACACACACAAGAGAGAGAGAGAGAGGGAGGGAGGGAGAGAGAGCTGGGATCAAATGTGGATTGACATCTATTGTGCAAACGTATGGACAGTGCTATTCTGTGAGAATGACAAAGAAAATATTTTGTTTAGTAATGTGAATACTTCAATCTTACATAACTATTGTCATTATCACGCATTCTCACTAAATAAATCGTCTATATGGTTATTATAGACTTTTTTTATTATTATTCTCATTTTGTCAGAATGTTGACAGAATATTTATTGAGTCGTATTCTGTAAGAATAAAAATGAGTAAAAAACAATGTGTGAGAACAAAAATGAATAAGAATTAGTGAGTAAAAAACAATAGTTGTGTAAGGTTAAACGTATTCACATTAGCAAACAACCTATTCTTTTAGTAATTCTCATAAAATAGCATTGTCCACACGTCCGCACAATAGATTTTCATCCACATTATAACCTAGCCCAATATATATATATATATATATATATATATATATATATATATATATTAATCTTCGTTATCTTTTTCTAGATTTTATTATTTATTAAATTTATTTTTAAAAATAAAAATTAACAAAAAAAATTTACCAAAGAAAAGTAAAAACTTTAAGCCTAAAATAGGATGTTACAATTATCTCTGTCATCAGAATCTTGGATTTCATGAATATTTTAGGATAACGCTTCTTCATTTCATCCTCCACTTTCCAAGTAAGATTTGATCCCATTGAGTGCTTCTATTTTACTAGAACTAAAACAACAGTCTTTCTCCTCAACTTTTTGGTTTTTAGTCCCATAATTGTCATAATTGTCTTCGGCTGTTCAATCTATCACTTGTTCTCATCCACTCAAGATTATATTTTAGTTTCCCGACTCTCTCCAAAATAGTGAATGGATCGATATACCTTAGATTCAACTTCCATCTTTTTTTCAAAATGAAAGAGTCATCTCCAAGGTGAGATCTTCAAAAAAACTTCTTCACCCACTTCGAAAACCATGGGTCGATTTTTCAAATTTGCATAACACTATTTCCTATCTTTACTTACCAACATTCTTTGTCGAATCATTTCCACATTTTCTGTGGTTTCATGAATGAAACTTGGTCCGGTAAAAAATCTCTCCTACTTGTAGCTAAAACGATGGGACGAGAATTTCCTTCCATAGAATGACTCATAAGGAGCCATTTTAATAGTCAAATAATAAATATTACCGTATGAAAATTCAATGAAGGGTAAATGCTCATCTGAATTTCCAGTGAACTCCAAAATACATGCCTGAAACATATCTTCAATGTTTTATATAGTTCTTCAATTTATCTGTCGATTTTTGTATGGTATGTGGTGTTTAAACACAACAATTCCAAGATCTTCTTGCATACTTCTCCAAAATTGGGATGTAACTCAACTATTCTAATCCGACAAAATCAAAAATGGTACACCATGTATCTTCATTACTTTGAGTTCCAAAAACTTCTTCATGGACCATTTTTCACGTGTTGCCAAGAAAAGTGAAATTTTGGTCAATCTATTGATGATTACCCAAATCAAGTCACACCCTTTCTTTTTTTTGACAACTTCATGAAAAACATTTATTGTAATATTATCACATTTCCAATTTGGCACATGCAACAACTCCTATCTTTAGTAAGCCCTTGTCATGAGTCATTTTCCCACCCTTAGTCACAAGCAGAAGAACAAGAATTATAATGGTCAATTCACGTTAAAAGAAAAAAAACAAATACCATGATTTTACATAACAATTATTATTATGGTAGACCACCGAACAAAGAGCTTACAAAAAATGGTTAAATACGAGATATACCAACGCACTTGTGACATCCCCATTTTCACGGCCAGAAAAGGCCGATTTGTGTATGCTTTATTTTGAAAATCAGAGTATCCT